TGTTTTCTTGTGTGTGTGTGGAGGGGGTTTCTCCTCTTTCCCAGTTGACAGGAGACAGCAACTGTGCCCATACAGCCCAGCTACAGCCATACCCTCTGCAGCTCCACCCACTGGACAAGAGTCAATACCAATTCCTATACCACCTGATCAACGACAGCAGCCAACACCAGTCAAACCCACCCAAACTGAGGTGCATGGATGGAGAATGGTGCACGTGCTTCTGTTCTCTAACCATACTCACAGGCGAAGGCTGGTGAGAGTCTAAGGACACATCAACATACAACCATCAATTAAATACAAACAGGACAATACTACAATGTCTCAGAGACAACAGACAATTTTAGCTCACATAAAGAAACAAGGGAGAATGGCTCAAACAATGGATAAGATGCAGAGCCAAAAACTGTTTGAGAAAGAAAAGATGATGGAAGTAATGGGAAAAAATTCCAAAAGAATGATACTTAGGTACCTTCAAAGGATGAAAAGATCAAGGAAAGCAAGTAGAGCACAGAAAAAAACCTTTAGAACACTATAAACCCTGCAATTAATCTAAAAGATTGATACTAAGATTTCAGAAACAGACAATACATTGAAAGGTCAAAGGAATAGATCTGAAGCAATGGAAGCCCAAATTAATGAGCCTGGACAAATCTCTAGAAGAACAATCAGGAAAAAAAAGAACGGAAAAATCCGAAGAAAGTCTAAGAGTTATGTGGGACACATCAAAATAAAAATGATTCAGTAAACATTAAAACAATAGAAATGAAAATTAAAAGAAAACCCACCACACCCAAAGTTGCAGATAGTACCCACTTGACCTAGCCTTGATGGTTTGACAATCAGAAATCGACTAGAGAAAGAGTTAAAAGAAAAAAAAAATTTTTTTTTGATAAAGGAAATTAGGTAAATTGCTACAATTTGATGAACTTGACCTATACTCATAGAGGTGTTGTTGTTACATGCCGTGGAGTTGGTTCTAACTCATAGTGTCCCTGTACAGGGTTTCCAAGGCTGTAAATTTTTATGGGAGCAGAAAACCTCATTTTTCTCCTGCAGAGCAGCTGGTAGTTTCGCACTGCTGATCCTGAGGCCAGCAACCTGATTCGTAACCACTACACTACCAGAGCTCCTTGGAGGTAGTAACTCTAAATACCAATAGAGAGGAAAGGAGTCTTCACATCAAGTATCAATCCTATCCCCTCTGTACACAGGGTAGATGGGGATGGGCAACTTAAGACATTGGCTACCTAAAATGAGGGAGCAATAAAGGCACAAAGTGACTGGCTTACAAGGTTTCAAGGGGGAGTTTAGTTTAATAGTGTGTGGGGGAAGAAAGAGTCCCCACTAATAGGTTTCATCTTGTCTAGATGAGTCTGGTGAAAAGAGATGGGGATAAAATTCTTATGATTCAATAGTAATTGTTATCATGACTAATTGCGGCAGTCACAATTGTAAAGGTAGAAGTTTTATAACAAAAACAGGGGAGTGGTTAATCTTACAGTCCAGAAACAGAGGACCCTAGGACCATCAAGGGAGAAGAGCACAAGCGGAATGCGAGACCTTATCCAGAGAAGCAGCAACACCAGAGATGGAGGCAGAGATGGGGACATGGAGAGAGGGAGCAGCTGAGGACTCTAGATTCATGGGAAGAGAGGGACTAAGAGATGGCGGCCAGGAGGCAGACTTGTAGAATGTGCCCTTTGGTGCTGTAAATTATTATATAAGCCTGAATGTTGTTGTTTTTTTTTTTTAAAAAAAGGCTAAAGTGAATAGAAACACTGGTAACTGATGGTACATGGAGGGGATTATAATCATTGTAATGAACCCGGGTATATGGTTTAATGTAAAACTGATGATCTGCCCTGTAAACTTTTACTTAATCCACAATAAAAATCTTAAATAATAGACAGGCAGCAACGAAAATCACACATGACTGTAGCATGTACATATAAAACCCAATGACTGAAAGACTCATTGTAATTGAATAATAATGAAAGCTCTGAGCAAAGTGCATTGTTGTTAAGTGTCATTGAGTCTGTTCCCATTCATAACAGCCCTGTATAGGGCTTCCGAGGAGTGGTTGGGGAGTCGCTGTTCAAACCAACTTGACAGTCTAATGCTTATCCTATAGTACCACACCAGAATGCCTTGGAAGGCTCAAAAAGTAAGTTAGCATATTGTTTTAGACTTGTAGCTATATTGATACATATAAAGTTGTCTTATGAAAAATGTTTTTGTTGTCATAACTGCCTACAGGGGTATGTTAATAAAAAATAAAAATAAATTTCTACTGAAACGCTAAAATAAATAAATAGAAAGCCCACCAACACAATGAACTCTGCACAGAAAAGAATGCGAAACAAACCAGAGAACACTGTGCTGGGTACAGTTAGTCAATAACAAAGGGGCAAATACTGTATGGGATCGGACCACTGTTGCAGTTAGGAAAAGGGTTTTGTGATAAAGGACACATTCTACGATAGTTAGAGGCGTGGGGTGGTTGATTACTCAAGGCTTAGAGGGTGGACACATGGGTGATGGGTCAGGCAATGAGCAGTGGGAGGGAGGGAGGGAGGTTGGCAGAGGAAAGATGAAGGTAGCAGGAGACACAGGGAGGAATGCAGGCATAAAAGTGAACAGAGGTACGTACTGTTAGCTGGTGGTATGTGGAGGGGATTGCAATCATTGTAAAGTATCGGATTTGTTGAATGTAAAACGGATTATCTGCTCTGTAAACCTTTACTCAATTCACAATGAAAAGGGTATTTTAAAAGTTTATGGGAAAATGGTATTAAAAGTCATGGAATTTCCCACATGCTTTCTGAAGCCCCTTAGTGCACAGTCGTGGCTGTATTCTCACTCATTATCCCACATCTATTCAGCTTGCATGTCAACCTCTGTATCTAGTTGTAGATACTGTTTCTTATTACTAGTGTCACAGGATTGTACAGATAATAATTTGCTACATTTTACTCTTGTGCATCTCCTCCTATCTTCCTTTGCCTTCGTTATGTGCTGCCTTCCCCCAAGTTAATATGTGCCCGATCCTTAGTCAGGAATTTACCCTCCTGTCCGCTCCCATTCCTGGCGGCCACCAGAGAATGTTTCTTTGTGTGTGTATCTTTTCTTGGCTTTTTATAGAGCAGTCTCAGGTAATACAATGGGGCTTCAAAAAGTTCATGGAAAAAATGGAATCAAAAGATAATGGAATTTTCAA